GTTTTTTATTTAAATTTGAATTTCGTCTCGAATAAAAAAAAAAAAAAAATAAATAAATAAAAATAATCATAATAGAATAAAAAAGTGGTGAACATTTCTGCTTTCTAGTCCAATTTTTTCAAAAAAGGTTCTTTTGACATACCTAAAAATACTCACATATTACGGGTAACTACACTCATGTCCATAAATTAAGGATAATTCAGAATCACACAAAAATTGAACTCTAAAATAAAAATTTCACCTGTAGTATTATCACACACATCTTGAAGAAGAATATGCAAATTACAGAAAACCACCAGATGGCGCGGATAGTACGTCAGAATAACGAGAGTGTAAGAGAGGCGTATACAAGGAATGGTGGCAAAGAAGTAAAATTGTTCACACGCGCTTTAAAAGCCTTTCAGTGCAATAACCGCATAGTTATGGCACAAAGGAAGCATTTGGATGATTTTTTAAGTGATAGAATTATCGGACGACTGGAATGTGGACGTACCCAGCTGGAAGTATCCGAGGAACTTGGAATCGCCCAGAGTGTCATATCCAGGCTTTAGCAACGATTCCAAGATGATGTTAATGTTACTAGATCTTACAGCACAGTCGCCCCCGAGTTACAACGCCGAATGAGGACCGGTATTTAGCAGTTACTGCCAAAAGAAACAGACGGAGCACAGCATCAGACCTGTCTCGTCAGGTCTCTTCAGCTACCGGTACGACAGTTTCAAGGCAGACCGCGTACAGACGCTTAGGGCACATTGGGGTATATGCTCGTAGGCCTGTCAGATGTGTTCCACTTACCGCAACTCACTGTCACCTGCGATTAACCTGGAGTAGAAAGCATGCATTGTGGACACCGCAACAGTGGTCTTGTGTGATGTTTTCCGACGAGTCCAGGTTTAGTTTGCAGTCTAATTCTCGCCGGACTTTCATATGGAGAGCGCCAGGTACCCGTTACCATCAAGAGAACACCATTGAACGACACCGTTACGGTGGGGCAGGATGGCTCGTTTGGGGAGGAATTATTCTTGGTTCCAGAACTGACCTGCATGTTCAGAGTGTAACGATGACAGGCCACATCTATCGGGAAGTCATTCCGGAACAACATGTACGTTTGTTTCGGGGTGCCATGGGAGCTGAATTTCTGTTTATGGATGACAACGCCCGTCCTCACCGTGCAAACATTGTAGACGATTGCCTTCAATTGGAGGATATCACCCGTATGGATTGGCCAGCATACTCACCGGACTTGAATCCAATACAGCATGTGTGGGATATGCTTGGCCGATGAATTGCAGCCCGTCAACCCCCTCCCACCTGTCAACCGGAACTTCGGAGGGCCTTGCTTGATGAGTGGTGTAATATTCCACAAGATCAGATTGATAATTTGATACTCAGCATGCCTAGGCGTGGTAAGGCCTGTATTGCATCGTCCGGGAGACATACTCCATATTAACCATCATACTAACCATGTTATACTGTTTTTTGTAAATAGGTTCTTTTTTGAAATTTGCTCCAGGGAGTAAAAATCGCAATTTTTATTAATTATGTCAAACATATAGCATCTTTTTTGCTCTTTACCTTTTGTTTAATAAAAAGACTTTACAAATAAGTCAAATTTGTTTTGCTTCTGTCTCTTTCTTTGTCTGAACTTCATTATCCTTAATTTATGGACATGAATTTATATACAATGATCACTCTTTATACGAATAACTATATCTAAAGTTTTCAGCATGATTTTACAAGAATTATTGGAATTTTATAAAATTGTTTTCCCTAAATATATTTGGCATGTACTAAAATAGTATTTTAAATTTCGTAACAACATTTTAACTCCATAAAATCATGCACAAAAATAGTTAGGATTTAAAATAATCAACATATTTTCTCAAAATATTGTTTAAAGCTTTAAAATGCGTATATATTTTTAATTCTTCGAAGAACTATGCCATTAAATTTGTGATATTTTTCCGTCATGTTGAAGATATATAATATCAAATGGTATAAAGTAAAATTTAGAAATGCGAAAGAGTTGATGTGACGTTTGAATAAAAATTTCATTTTCTAGATGGCGTGCCATTAATTTCTGTCTTCCCCTTTTCAATTCTATATCTTCTTTCAAGATAAAAGTGACTCTTTGTTGACGAAATACTTTAACTTCACATTCCATTAGAATAAATGATATATAAGAATAGTAGATGACTTATGATGAGAATGCTAGAATTTAAAATAAAGAAAGAAAAGGACGTGTTTTTAAATATTTTATATTTAGGTAATTTTTAATGTATATGTACTACTGTGTCCAAAAAGTAAGATCAGTTTTCAATTTAAGTTTCCCGTGCATATGGTTATTCAATTTTTTTTTTTCATTTTTATGTTGTTGTTACTGTGCTTGACATCTGTGTGAAGTTCTACGTCAAAATATTCAGTAGTGCTTGAGTTAATCCGGTTCCACGAGATGTTAAAACTGATTCTGTGATTTTTGAAATGTATCTTCAATCGACTCAAAACACTGTCCCCGGAGAGGTCTTTTGAATTTAGGAAATAGCCAGAAGTAGCACGATACTAAATTAGGTGAATACGCTAGTTATGTAATTATATGGGTTTCATTTTTGGTGAAAATGTCGCGAAGAATTAATGCAGTGTGAGCTGGCGCATTCAGTGTTTTCGATACCAATCTAGATTTGACGCGTTTGAGGCCCACAACATTTTTTAAAATGAAATTTTGAATTTCCAATATCATCAGCAAAGTCTCTAATTGTAAATCGACGGTTTGCAAGCACCAAATCTTTACATTTTTGAGCATCGTCGGTTCAGGTTGGTGGTCGACAAGAGGGCTCTTCGTCTTCAATGAGTTATCTGCCTTTTTTTAACTGCTCTTAAAACTTCTACACATTTCTTTCCGATATAGGAATGCTCACCGAATGCTTCTGCAACATTCTATATGTTTCCGCTAACCAAATTTAACGTAAGTGTTCGATCAAATAATTCAAACCTTTCAAAAATCGCCGGAATCAGTTTTAGCATCCCACAAAACCAAGCGTAACTCAAATACTAATAAATATTTTGGCGTAAAATTTCACACTGATGTCAAGGGTAGTGCCAACAACCTAAAAAGAGAAAAGAAAATTGAAATACCATATGCCCGGGGAATTTAAATTGAAAACTGGTATTACTTTGTGGACACAGTAGTGTATAATATATATATATATATATATCCCCGAAGGCACAGTGTATAGCAGATACATCCATCTAATACAAACATCCATGGCACCGCAGGAATCGAACACGAAACCTGGGATAACGCGCCCCAGAGCTCTAGTCACTAAAAATTCTTGCCTTTTGCAAAGATTTTATGATTTCTTTTATGTCAATGATTCTTAAGTCATTTAGTATATCAATGATAAATTCTTCTGCTAATAACATGAGATCACAGTTTTTCCTTTGTGAATGTCTATATAATGTTGAACATGTTTATATTTTAAACTTTAAATTGAATGAAAGTTAACTGGATTTTTTTATAAATTAAGAAAATAAGCATATATTACAATTATTTCATAATGACGTAAATTTAAATGGTTAATTTAAAAGTAACTAACACATATTTTAATAATTGTAGATGTTGATTTTGGCATTAATTATTATGAAGTGTTTCTTGTTTCTCGTTGGCAACATTATTGTTATTATGTATTGACAGATTTTTGTCAAGAGTTTAAACAATAAATGGTTCGTTGTTGGTTTTTGGTTTTATAATTATTTTAGCTGAACGTTAATTCAGTAAGTTTCTATCGATATCTTGGATTGCTGCTCCAACTGAGAGTCAAAAACTTAATACAATGGATTTTGCGGAATAATCCAATAAAAAATTTGAATAATAATACATTTAATATTAATATAAATTTCCACATAATAACTTAATATAACTTTTTTTTAATAATAATTTAATGTAAAACAGATTCAGATGCTTTAGTTTTAAATATCACTGTATAATCATAATTAATATTACTATGATACTACCGATAAGAAATAAAAAAAATTAAATCAAAGAGAAAAGTAATTGTAATATTTTTTTACAAAATTTTTTATTAAAAAAATTATATATCAGAATCACAAATGAGATTAACATCTGCGATTTTCTGCTAAATGTAATAAAATATATATAGTTGAAATATCTCTTTTTTTATAAACATATTTTAATTTTTCTTCCAAAAAAAAACAACGGAAAGAGTATCTATTCTGAAAAGTTTTCCTTTCAAATATTAACAAATACAAGAACAAAAATAAAAGTCCAATAGTCTAACACGTAGACAAAATAAAAAGACATTTACAAAGAATTGCGATGTAAGCAAAATTCTAGATAACACAATTCCGATATTCAATTTTGAAAATTTTGTTTCGCGTTGCAATTTTTTAATAACATTTATGACTTACAACTAACAATTAAAACGTTGTATTAATGTACAATAATTTCTTAGTAAGACAAAAGTGCAAGTAAGCTCAATTTTATACATTATTATAAGTTTACATTGTGTACATATGAATAGTCAATAAATTTAACAAATATATGAACACTCTTAATAAACACATCAGGACAATATTCTTTGATAAAGTAATACTTTCTGAAGGAAAAAAAAATAAAAACAAGGGAATTTATTGAAGAAATATAAACAAAGTAATCTCTTCTATCTAAAAAAATGCCATTTGTTCTTAATAGTTTTAGTAATTCCCTTCGTGAAATAAAAGAACACAAATTTTTACTGCATGAATTTTTTTTTTACACTTTCCTGCGATGAGGAATTTATAACATTCCTGAGGGATCAACAATCGTGTTGAAGAAAAAAAAAATATTTCTGTTAAAAAAAAATTATTCAAGAGATTTAAAAATAAAATAACCTGAAACTTACCATTATTTCATTTATTAAAGACAGGGCCGCATTGTTAGGAGTCAGATGTTGCCATTTACACCATGCAAAATTCTGTGTTTATTATGTTTTTAACTTTTTGTGATGAATATATCGGTTCTCGTTCGATTACCGAAGTCAAGCATCATCAGGGACTGTCAGTACTTGGGAGGGTGACCACCTGGGAACACCATGTACCTTTGGCATTCAAAATTGGGGCCTGATGGCCGAGTGGCTAACGCTGTGGCTCTCAGTACCGCAGGTATCGAGTTCGAATCCCGGCGGTGTCATGATGTTTGTGGGGGTTTGGAATCCACTTTAAAGCTTAGGTCCCTGTCTCATATGACCGTAGAGCATTACAGAGCCCAATCAGACTTCTCACCCACATCATTCCTAAACTGTATAGGGCAATTCAGCTCTAGTCACACTGATGTGGTGTGTAGAAGTACCTTTTTGTACTTGGAATCAATATGAATCTTTAATAAAATTAGAACTTATTTCTGATTTACTTGCATTTCGTTATTGAAAACTTTCCCTGATGTAGCTAGTGATTGGTTGTGCTTAAAATAGTTGTATGTACCAATAGAGAGAAATCCATATACACCTGCTTTGGTTATTGCACAATAATTTCAAAGATACTGAAGAATTGAGAAAAGGTTTTTGTTATTATTTTGCACAAAGAGTTACTGTTAATTTCCGCATGTCTTGCTATTATATGCAATAATTTAAATCGATAATATATATAATAATTATTATTATCTTCAGCAAGACGTAACGATTATCACTATAAAATTAGTTAAACACATAAATTTTAAAAAATAAGTCTGAAGAAAATACAATTATATTATTATATTATTTAATAAATTATTCTATAACTTAAGCAATTAATACAAAAATGTAAACTTTTAAATTATGATTTTCTAATTTATAATATTTAAATATTTTATTTTGTGCTTAAAGATGAGTTAAACCTGGTTTGTTTAATAACTAAGTAACAAACCAAGACATTGATATAAATGATCAATCAAGATTAAATCATTATAAGACAGACGTCATGTCCTTAAAGGTACACAGCACGAGACTTAAGTCCTAAAGTATCATATCGAGACTTAAACACTAATTACTTGGCGACATCTTTACATAATGTTTGCTTTTGAAAGGAATCCAGCCACAGAAGTTTCTAAGACTTGGGCGAAATCCATCATTAGCTCAAACCAACGTTAGATCTGGTGCCTGTCACCATGTTGACAGTTGGGATAATCAAGTTTTAAGTTTGGTATTTCCTGCCGCTCGAATTTTCTGCATTTCCGACCTCCAAAAGGGGAAAGACAACACGTGACCCAGTTGAAAATAAATGATGTCATTCAATCCCCACTCTTTGTTGAATGGCCTGCAAGACGCCATTTTGTTCAGAGTGGAAATAATTGAATCCGCGTGGGGTTTTGTACGATAAAAAGGGTATACAAAGTCAATTCAAATGCGTCTTTAGAATGTTAATTTGGACTTCCAGACTGCGACGGAATGCAGATTTTGCAGCATTCCGACGATAATAGTTCGTCGAAACGAGGAGTGAAAATGTTAAGGGTGATCCAGGAACGAAGGTTTTAAATGTGCAATGCATTCCAACGGTATCAAGGTTACGTGTAACTATTAGTTGAATTTTTACCAGACAATGTTTATATGTAACTAATTTAAATTGATTGAAGTGTATTATACAGATATGTATTGTGTATGAATCAAAATTAAAGATAATTAATAATGACACATGTCATTTGCTTTTAGTGAAATATACAGTTAATATTCAATTTCATTTGATCTTTTGAATTTTCCTTGTTGTAATTGAGCAATATGTAGATTGCATTTGTAATTATTTCAACTGAAAAATATAAAAGCAATTCGTTTTATGAGTATATTATTTTTAAATCAAATTTTTCTTTATAGATATTTTTCCTTATCTTAAATAGATTTCAATACTGTGTACCTTCGTCGAATTTCTTTTACTGAATATAAAGTTTCCAATTTAATGAATCTAGATTTTATTTCTGATTTATATGCGATTCGTTATTGAAAAGCTGACCTAATGTAGCTAGTGATTGAATGTTTTTAAAATAGTTGTATATACGAAGAGAGGACAATTTAAATAAATTTATTTTGATTATTACACATTTAACTTCAATGGATTTTTTCCAAAAGATTAGGCCTCTTTGTTAAGAATTATTATTAAAAAATAAGTTTTGTTATTATTTTATACAAAAGTTGTATTGTAAATTTTCACATTTGTTGATGTTCTGTGCAATAATTTTGATTGATAATATGTGTAATAATAATTATTGTTATCATCAAGAGCTAACGATTATCATTATAAAACGATTTAAAAATAAATTTGAAAAAAATTAATTCTGCAGAAAACACAAATATGCTATTATTTTATTACATAAACTATTCTATAACTTAAACAGTTGAAAATCGCTGTAGAAATGTAAACTTAATTTTCATTTGATAATTATAATATTTAACTATTTTATTTTGATTTTTAAATGAATGAAATTTTTTCTTGTTTAAATAATTAATTAGTATAAATGATCAATCAAGCTTAAATCATTATAAGACTGATGCCATGTTCTTTAAATGCACACAGCACGAGACTTAAGTCCTGAAGTACCATATCCAGAATTAAACACTAATTACTTGGGGACAACATTTCATATTGTTTGCCTTTGATTTCTCCGCAAAGATTAAGCTGCATTGCTAGGAATCAGAGGTTGCTATTCATAACGTAAAAAAATGTTGTGCTTATTAGATTTTCATTTTGTAATTGAAATCTGTATGAATCCTTAATAAAATTAAATCTTAATTCTGATTTACTTGAGTTTCTTTATTGAAAATCTTCCCTAATGTAGTTAAGGATTGGTTGTGCTTAAAACTGTTGTACGTACCAATAAAGGGAAATTTATATATAACTATTTTTGTTATTGCACAATAATTCCAATGATACTATTGAGAAAAAAAATTGTAATTATTTTGCAGAAAATATTTATTGTTAATTTCCAAATTTGTTGTTATTATTTGTAATAATTTTAATTGATAACATGTATAATAATAATTATTGTTATCGTAAAGGATAATGTTAACGAAATAAGTATTATAATCAAGATAAAATAATCATTATAAAACTATTTAATCATAAATTAGAAAAAAAAACTTGACTCGGTAGAAAACAGAACGATGCTATTATTTTATTACACAAATTATTTTACAACTAAAGCGGATAATGGAATTCGATATAAAACTAAACATTTTTAAATAATGAATTTGTAATTTATAATAGTTATTTTATTTTGGGCTTGAAGATGAGTTAAATTTGGCTTGTATAAATAACTAATTAGTATAAAGAATCAATCAAGATCAAAACATTATAAGACGGATGACATGTTCTTAAAGGTACACAGCACGAGACTTAAGTCCTAAAGTATCATATCGAGACTTAAACACTAATTACTTGGCGACATCTTTACATAATGTTTGCTTTTGTAAAGAATCCCGCCGCAAAATTTTCTAATACTTGTGCGAAATCCCGTCATTAGCTCAAACAACGTTAGATCTGGTGCCTGTCACCATGTTGACAGTCGGGATAATCGTTTTTAAGTTTGGTATTTCCTGCCGCTCGAATTTTTCTGCCTTTCCGACCTCCAAAAGGGGAAAAGACAACACGTGACCCAGTTGAAAATAAATGGTGTCATTCAATCCCCTCTTTGTTGAATGAAAGCTATTTTTGGCCTGCAAGACGCCATTTTGTTCAGAGTGGAAATAATTGAATCTGCGTGGATATTCCCGCCATAAAAAGGGGATACAAAGTCAATTCAAATGCATCTTTAGAATGTTAATTTGGACTTCCGGACTGCGATGGAATGCATGATTTTCGCAGCATTCCGGCGATAATAGTTCGCCGAAACGAGGAGTGAAAATGTTAAGGGTGATCCAGGGAACGAAGGGTTTCAATGTGCAATGCATTCCAACGGTATGAAGGTCAACTTGTGACTGAATATTTTTAAATGTTGCGTGTAAATTGTTAGTTGAATTTTTACCAGACAATGTTTATATGTAAATAATTTAAAGCTATGTAAACTATTATATAAAAATGCGGTAAGTATTGCGTTAGAGTCAAAATTTAATACTATAATGGGATTTCTCGCATTCGTCAATTTTTACTTACTGAATGTAACGTTCCGAATTTAATGAATCCAAACTACAAATCTTATCGATAAATAACGTAATAAACATGATTAATTGAATTTAGGATACTTAATAATGACAAGTACTTAATAATGGCAAGTACTTAATAATGACAAGTACTTAATAATGACAAGTACTTAATAATGACAAGTACTTAATAATGACAAGTGTGAAAATAAACAGATAATATTAAAATTCATATCCTCTTTTGGAGTTTTTCTTGTTATAATTGAACAATATGTAGGTTGTATTTGTAAATATTTCTGCTTAAATATATAAAAGCAATTTGCTCTATGATTATTTATTTATTTTTTTTTTTTCAAATCAAATATTAACTTTTTAATATTTTTTATTTTTAATAGTTTTTAATACTCTAGTGTAATTTATCGCATTCATGAAATTTATCTTACTGAATATAAAGTTCCCAATTTAATGAATCCAAACTACATATCTTATCGATAATTAACGTAATAAACATGAATAATTGAATTTAGGATTATGAACCAAATAAGACAATTATTATAAAACATTTATTAGGCATTTGGAACATTTTATCTATAATTAAACTTCAAAAAACTACAGTGACCAAATGGCAAAATGGATCTTTCATTTAATACCACATGCTTCAGGTTAAAATCCTGGTGGTGACATGGATGTTTATTCGTGATTTCGAATTTAAGTTGCAAAGACATCTAGGTCCCGATGATGTGAGCATAAAACCAACAGAAAAAAATGGTTATTTGACGCACATTTCATTCTAAATAAATCATGGTAATTTATATTTTAAATTAGTAACTGCAAAAGATAAAAAAAAATAATGCATACTATTGAATTTAAATTTTCTGCTATTAGTATTTTTTGTATTTTATTTAAATATTGATTAAAATAAAAATATAATATTTATGCTGGTATTTTGAAAAGAAAATCGCAGTTAAGAAGAAATTATTTTTGTTTTCTAGTTTAA